GTTAAGACCCTGCTCTGAGGGTAGGAATTAATTAATATATGTCTAGAAAGAGCCAGTTCCTAGGATATTTCTAGACATTCAGGATTCTAGAGATAGAATCAGAAGTTGGTTTGAGGTTTACTCAATAAGAGCTTCCCACCATCGTCACTAAATCCCTGATCAAACACTTCCTGCACTCCCCTGAACTGGCTCCCCAAACACTGCTTCACAGAGGCTCCTGCAGAATAGGATACAGGCATTTAGAGGTTCTCTGCAGTGGTGTCAGCAGATCCAACTCCTTCTTCCACTAGAGGTTATGGAAAAAAATTCTCTTAGAAGCTGGGATCTTTTTTCGTCAGCTGCTTCCCAAAACACTGATTGGGACACTTTCCTCAATCCTGCCAGACTGACTGGTCACTACCAACCTTCTTCAGGGGCTCCACCTAGACTCTCATCAGAGTCATTCCAAGTCCTGTCTCAGGCAGAATATTCAGATCTATTCCAAGCACCTTCCCTGGGATCTCAGGTGCATACTGAGAACCAGTGGGTACCAGGGTTGAGAGGTAAGAGCAGCCTGGCCGGGGTACAGAAATAAGAGGTGAATTGTCTGTAAAAACTGTTTAAATAGTAATAAAACTAAAAGTCTATCTGATTTTTATCATCACCTTGTACAACAATTCTAGGCAATGTTAGTGATACAATAACCCTCACCAAAAAAAAAAAAAAAAAAAAAAAAGTTAATCTAAGTTCTAGGCAATTGCTGCAGTTACTGTTGCATTATAAAAATATGTATGTAATCTTCAAATTATCACTTTTTACATTTATTCACTAAAAATAGTGTATTCCACATGGAAATTAATTTGGAGCACATATATTACTTTTTTTTTTTTTTTTTTTTGGCAGGAAAACAGTTTTATTATTACTCAAATCAGTCTCCCTGAGCATTTGGGGATCAGAGTTTGGACAACTTGGTGAGTAGGGGAAAAGTCAGTGAGCTGGGAGTGCTAACTGGTCAGGTCATATATGAAATCACAGGGAGTCAAAGCTGTCTTCTTGAACTGAGTCAGTTCCTGGGTGGGGACTACAAGATCAGATGAGTGCCTAGGATACTCACCAAGCCAGACACCCTGTAATGAGGCTATAGCTACAGACACTTCATGACTGGGTTACAGTTATAGGACATCTCCAGAGGACTATTTCTCTATTGCAAATAAATCCATGCGCATTGAGTCAGCAGTGCCCCGTCAATAGAGACAGTACCAGAGTCAGCCCCCAGTCCAAATGAACTAGGCAGCTGCTTGGGCTAACATCAGCATCCATCACCAGAGGGGAACTACCAAACCATGGGCAGGTAGCCACACAGGCAATCCTGGACAAGCCACCAAATTTGTAATCACCCAGTGGGTTCACCTTGCCCACTACCTAGAGAGAGCTGATTTATCAAGGCAGGGGAATTGCAATAAAGAAAAGAGTAATTCACGCAGAACTGGCTGTGCAGGAAACCGGAGTTTTATTATTACTCAAATCAGTTCTCCCATATATTACTTTTGACATAAATTCATAAGAGTTTAATTAGCTTTTAGGCTCACTTCAGGCACATTTCATGACTCCAACTCCTGTTGTACAAGATATCCTTGCTTTTAAATAGTAGATTTAAGACAAACAACTTTAGTTTTGTGGGATTTTTCTTTTATGAGTATTTTTTTAATTAATGCAAAGTTTCAAAGAAGGCCAATCAAACACAAAAGTATCTGCAAAGAGCCAGATTAAGCCTTGAACAACACAGAGTCAGTAGAAACATCAAGGTTTAAATTGTTGCTTTAACTTCCTTTTGGCTGGAACCTCAATATTCTGGTAATTCATCAAAATTACCAAAACAAGGAAAAGAGGAGAGGCACCCGTTGTATGTTCTCCAGACCTTTTAGAAAACATGGAGTTGGCCATATGTATGGAAATCTATAAAAAAGGTAATACTGTAGACATCAAGGGGATGAGTATGGTTCAAAAAGAAATGCTTCACAAGTGTTACCAGGGCAAAAACTGGAAGAGTCTATAATGTTACTCAGCACGCTGTTGGCATTGCTGTAAAAAGGAAAATAAAAAAGTTAAGAGCAAGATTCTTGCCAAGAGAAGTAATGTGCATGTGCAGCACATTAAACACTCTAAGGGCAAAGTAGCCTCCTAGAATGCATGAAAGAAAATGATCAGAAAAAGAAGGGAGCCAAAGAGAAAGGTATCTGGATTCAACTGATGGGCCAGCCTGCGGCACCAAGAGAAGCATACTTTGTGAGAACCATGGAGAGGAGCCTGAGCTGCTGGAACCCATTCCCTATGAATTCATGACATAATAGGTGCAAATAATAATAATAACAAAAGACCCCTGGACTGTTAAAAAAAAAATTGTTCCACTAACAGCAGCCTACAGAAATTGCAGAGAAAGCCGGTAGTAATGCTACAAAAACAAAATGTAAGGAAACTGACATAGAAAAAAGAATCAAATTTTGAAGACTACCAGAAAAGACAAGAGACGATTGCCTTGTATTGCCAGAAAAAGTCAAAAGGATGATGTTGGATGCTACAATTGTTTTTACCAAGTGTAAGCATTTTCTAAAACAATGGATCAATGTTTCATTTTACCTAATTTTTGCAGAGGAAGAGACTCTTAGCAAGTTTTTGCCAATAGAAATTTATGATACATTTTCTGGTGGGCCAGGAGCATTGGCTCACACCTGTAATCCCAGCACTTCGGGAGGTTGAGGCGGGCAGATCACTTATGGTCAGGAGTCTGAGATCAGTCTGGCCAATCTGGTGAAACCCAATCTCTACTAAAAATACAAAAAAAAAAAAAATAGCCGGGTGTGGTGGCTGGTACCAGTAATCCCAGCTACTTGGGAGGCTGAGGCACAAGAATCGCTTGAACCTGGGAGGCGCAGTTGCAGTGAGCCGAGAGCACACCATTGCACTCCAGCCTGGGCAATAAGAACAAAACTTTGTCTCAAAAAAACTTCTGGTGAAAATATCTTAGTGAAATTTTTTAATTGCAAAGACAATTGAAAACTGCAAGAATTGTTCCCATACAAACAAGACATTAATGGTATTGTAATTTCTGTAACTGTGAAGTGTGATTTGTATAAATCTCTGCCAATGTATTGACATGTTTATGACTTTTCCTGTTTGCATATTTGTTGATTCATATTGAAGAAGCTTTTCAAAATTAAAACTAGGAAAGAAATGTTCTTTGATCACCTATAAGCTGACAGAGTGACAAATCTAACTATACCGTCTACTGAATACATGTAAAGAGGAGTGATTTCATTTCCTAAAACTGCTATAACAAACTATCACAAACTGTAAAACTTAAAACAACAGAAATTTATTGTTTGTGGCTCTAGAAGCTAGAAGAAAGAAACTGATGTGTCAGCAGCAGTATCATGCTCTCTGATGGATCTGAAAAAGAGTACGTTTTATGCCTTTCCCTTGGCCTCAGGTGTGCTCCAGCAATTCTTGGAATTCATTCATTGATTTGCAACTGCTTAACTCTGGCATCTCTGCTTTCAAGGTCACATGGCTTTCTCCCTATATGTCTCTGTCTTTACCTGGTCAGCATCACCCTGAGCGTCCATCCCTCTCTCTTCATATGCAATTTTTTTTTTTTTTTTTTTTTTGAGATGGAGTCTCACTCTGTCATCCAGGCTGGAGTGCAGTGGCCTGATCTCAGCTCACTGCAACCTCCACCTCCCGGGTTCAAGCTATTCTCCTGCCTCAATCTCCTAAGTAACTGGAATTACAGGCATGAGCCACTACACCCGGCTAATTTTTGTATTTTTAGTAGAGACGGGGTTTCAACATGTTGGCCAGGCTGGTCTGGAACTCCTGACCTCAGGTGATCTGCCTGCCTCGGCCTCCCAAAGTGCTGGTATTACAGGCGTGAACCACCACGCCCAGCCTGCATATATGTATGTATGGATGGATGAATGGATAGATAGATAGATAGATAGATAGATAGATAGATAGATGATAGATAGATAGAGCCTTCAGCCCGCAGGACTCCGAACCCTCCAGGTGCCTTTCTCCTCAGATGCTCCGCGGCAAAGAGACCCATCGCCCTAAATGCCACACTTCTGCTGACGCAGCACAAGAAAAACCCGATGGCCCGCTTAATCCAAAATGTCTAGTGTCGACAGACAGACAGACATTGTGCATTTGGGATTAGGCACCCACCTATGCCTGTATATCTTCATCTTAACAAGTTACATATGCAATGACCCTATTTCCAAATAAGGTCACATTCTGAGTTATTGCAGGTTAAGACTTACAGCTTTCTGGAGACAGGAAGAATCACGGGGAAAGCACAACTTAAGCCATAACAAGGAACAATTTCGACAGTCATTGCCAATTTGCAGATGTTAGGGCTCCAAAACAAACTGTAATATTATTGTTCATTAACACATAAATGTGTAGGTATGTTTCTCCCCTTAAAAAACCACATTGGTGTAATTAAAAACGATCCACTACTTTGCCTTTTAGTGCTGCAATTTTTTTTTTTTTAACTGGAATGATTGCTTCAACAAAAGAAAATTTCACTCTCAGCGTTTCTCTTCAGGGCATCGTTATTATCCATTTCACCACTACTACTGAAAATCACTGTGTTAAAAACGATGCGCTCAGGTGTCAGCCAGGCCAGCTGGCCACTGCCGGGCCGGGTAGCGCGGGCAGCCCGCAGGACCCCGAACCCTCCAAAGACCTTTCTCCTCCTACGCTCTCTTTCCCAGGGGGCTCCGCGGCGGAGAGTCCCATCCCCCTAAATGCCACACTTCGGCCGACGCAGCTCAAGAAAAACTCGATGCCCGCTTATCCCACACTAGGGGGCGCCTGGTTCTCCGGCTGCCACCAAGCACTCACCCTGCCTGAAGCCCGCCCAGCTCGCCGCCTCTGGAAAAGCTCCACACGGTTTCTCCGCCCTTTGCCAGACTGCCAACGAGGCAGGCCCTGATGCGCATGCGCAAACACGTTTGCCACGCTCCGCGCTAAGGCGCATGCGTCCCTTGAAATTGCCTCCACCAGGTCTACCTTCCAGTTTCCAGTTCCGGCCTCCGAGGGGCGGGCAGAAAGTGGGGACATGCGGCTGTCGGTCGCTGCAGCCATCTCCCATGGCCGAGTATATCGCCGTCTGGGCCTTGGTCCCGAGTCTCGCATCCATCTGTTGCGGAACTTGCTCACAGGGCTGGTGCGGCACGAACGCATCGAGGCACCATGGGCGCGTTTGGACGAGATGAGGGGCTACGCGGAGAAGGTGAGGAGCGGGGCCCCGTTGTCCACTCTGCGGGGCTGGTTTGAAGGGGCGGGGCCGGCTGCAAGTGGAAAGGGACTGGAACCAACCTGCTAAACCGTTCCCCAAGTCTGAGTCCCCTAGGACCCTGAGCTGAACTCGCCTCTCCATCGCCTCTAATGGAAGACTGGTTAGGGCTGCGGAATTAGGGGTGGCGTAGACTGGAGGTGCTTTGCTAGTGGAATGCATGGATTGCGGTCCGGCATTAGGGAAATTAGATTGACGTCTTGTTTTCTTGCTCGGTCGGATCCGTGATGCCTTGTCCTCACAGCTCATCGACTATGGGAAGCTGGGAGACACCAACGAACGAGCCATGCGCATGGCTGACTTCTGGCTCACAGTGAGTGCGTCCTATCCGCCTTCAAAATCCTACCTACTCTTTGCTCCCGGGGGTAAGGGTTGGAGGAAGGAGAACTGGGCAGAATTAAGCTAGGGTACTCACTTATCGGTCAGTGTTATTGACTAAATTAGAAACCGTGTCTTAAGTTAGTTGAAGTCGATGTGAATACGTCTCTGCACAACTCCCTATAAATGACCCTTTGTGTAACATTACTCTACCAGATTGGTGGGGGAGGGGAGGTCTTTCTACTTGTGGGTGGGCCTTACCTTTGGGAGTGGCGTAAAGTTAAATGCCTCCGCAGTTGTGCCTGACTCTGCTGTCTCTTGGATCCTTCTCCCTGTAGGAGAAGGACTTGATCCCAAAGCTGTTTCAAGTACTGGCCCCTCGGTACAAAGATCAAAATGGGGGCTACACAAGAATGCTGCAGATCCCAAATCGGAGTTCGGATCGGGCCAAGATGGCAGTGATCGAGTATAAAGGGAATTGCCTCCCACCCCTGCCTGTGCCTCGCAGAGACAGCCACCTTACACTCCTAAACCAGCTGCTGCAGGGTTTGCGGCAGGACCTCAGCCAGAGCCTGGAAGCAAGCAACCACAGCTCCCACACAGCTCAAACACCAGGGATTTAACTGGATCTGAAGAGTCGGCAGCCCTTAATCAGTGCCCATGATCACAGGCCTTTGGAGTGCTTTTACTCTCTGAGAAGAACTGGAACTAGAGCTGTAAAATGGACAGTCTTGATGGGGTTGAGAACCTTTTGGGGAGCCAGACGGCCCTCTCTTTGCACTATAGATAAAAGTCTTTATATGAATATATATAAATTCGTTTCTTTTTTCCTTCCTGTGGGGTATCTGGAGAAGGAGAATTATCCAAATGCTCAGCCTACCTGGGATAGTAAATCCATGACTTATGCTTCTGGTCCTTAAATTTGGGTTATTTTTGGTTAGTGCAGTTTTGTTTTTCTTAATGCCAGTTTAGATGGGAATGCATCCTATAATTCCAAATGTTACCAGATGTGGTTGTTTTGACATCTGGTCTCCTAGAGACTGAGTGCTTGGGATTTCTTAGAGAAAGATTACTTCCTGACAGGGGTAGGGGAGTGAAAATGTGCAAGTGAAACTTCCTTAAACAATCTAGTACCCTACGAACCTTCTGGGGATACTGCAGTCATTCCTCTGTTTTGAGGCAGGATCACACATTACTTTCATGTGTTCCTCTCAACCCCCTGAATGGACCTGGGAGGAGAGGACCCAAGAACTCAGATGTTCCACCACTTTGGCCAAAGGGGTGGAGATATTCAGCAGAGGATGTTGGGCTTCAGGATAAGCTCCTTCCTCTTGGTGGGGGGAAGGGGTAAGAAAGTCTAAGCCAGAGAAGAATTAGGAAATTAAACCTCCTGGGAATTTCCTGGAAGTTTTTATTGTTGTCAAATCTGGCCTCTCTGGGAACCCAGAAAAGGGAAATCCGGCTACAGAATGTGAGAAGCCGGAAGCCCCTTTCTTGGCACAGCCAGACTGCTGTTCCCTTGGGTTCAGAGGCTTTCATAGTGTGGTAGTTTTGGAAACTCTTGGAAAGGAGCCATCGCTCTTGGTCTGAACACTTGATAGCAGTGCCTGATAACTGCCATATCCCCAGTAGAGTAGGTAGAAGAGATTTTATCTTAGGCTATATCATCTGAGTATATTTGGCCCACTGAACCTATCCATTATCTGAGACAATAAGCAAGAGTAAGGGTAGAGGGGTCACTGGTGTAACATAGTTTCAGTGACAGAACTATTCTGGGTTATTTAGCTGCAGCTGCCTTAGTCATACTCGTCCACTCCCAGCAGAGCTCTTTATCTCTTTCTCTCTACTCTAGTTTGTTCTTCACAGTTACCAGAAAGCTCTTATATTTTCAATGACATATAGTAGACACTCAAAACATTTATGAAATAAAGCTACAACTCTACCTCTGCTAAAAAATATACCCCTCCTCCTGTCTTAGCATGAACATCCACCCCAGCCTGATATCTAGGAGTCATACCTGACTTCTAGAGAAATTACTTTCCTTAAAACCACATCTTTATTTTGGATAGATGGATTGTGGCTGGGCTCCTGTAGCTTTTCCTCTTAGACCCCAAAAATGCATCTCCCTTTGGGACTTTGAACAGTTCCCTACATGCTTTTTGAGCATCTGCTAGTTCCCAACATCAACCTAGGCAGCAAGGATACAATATCTACTGTTTGTCATATAGAGACTAGAGAAAAGAAACAAGCTGTATCATCAATGAGCTCACAATAACAGGCCACTGCCACTACCACAGTGGCCTCAAGGGATACTGCTTTCCCTTTAATGTTTTGTGTTTTGGTCCAAATAAAAGTACATGAATCCTAAGACATTTGCTAAAGGCTCAGGGATAACACAAGGAAAATAACAGCATCAAGAATTTTAGTAATCTGGCCTATAAATAAACAACTTTTCTTCACTTAGTGGAATGCTCCCCCAAGTCCATCTAGGTATCTCTTTTTAAGTACATTCCAAACCCTAGAACAGCACTCTCAAAGGTTCCCCCCATCTTGGGCTCCAGTTCTTTATAGTAAGGTTGACAAAGTAATGATCACTCCTTTCTCAAAAGGTAACAAATTTAGGCTTTACAATTAATACACTATAAACCTGATGTCCCAGGGAGATGACTAGAAAAGTCAGTGATTATTTCCTTACACTCATCTACACTGAAGTTAACACGTTGTTTATTTCCATGATGTTTCTCAAATCTGCAGTCAACTCGCTCCCTAATATGAAATCCATGATCCCTCTATCCTGGATTACTGCAACAAACTCCTAACCTCCTTCCTCTACACTTTGGCTGTAGTGATGGGAATCTGATCATCTTAATTCCCAGGCGATGATCTTCAGTTGTTTATTTCCTATGGGAAAGAGTCCAGATTCCTTATCATGACTACCCTCCTTGTTCAGACATCCACTCATTACCCCAGCTACTTCCTTTGCCTCTAAATGCTATGGCTTAGAAGCATAAAAGTTCCTATTTTGGGTGTTTCCTTGTGTACAGCTCCCCTGTCCACAACCTTTTGTTCAAGCGGTCCCTACCACGCAGACAGCCTTCTCCCTTTTAAAACCTACTTAACTTACACAAAAACTTTTGTCATCACCTATGTGGCTCCCCTGACCATCCCCACACCTAAATTCATGACTGTCAACCAAGGTGCTCTCTGTTTCCATAATACACTGAGATTGCCACATTGCAAATCAGTTCCTTATAGTGGATTAGTTCCTGAATGGGTTCTGGTGGACAGGCCTAAACTAAGTTGAAGCAGTGAGAATCTACGCTGTATTCTGCCTACATGAATAAATTGGCATGTTATTCTAAGCATCACTGGGGAACTGGCTTCAGGCAGAAGATAACACTGAGAGTGGCAGATTAGAACAACTAAAAGTACAAAACCAAGAGCTCCCAAACTGGAATCCTAGTTATGTTGGATAATAATCTTTTTTAGTAATTATTTCTATTTGGGTGTGAATTTTCTGTTAATTGCTACTAAAAGTAATTTGATAATTTGTGTACCATTGACCCTTTACGCTAGTGCTTCTCATAAATTGTGACTGTGACCCACAGACCAGAAAGCATTTTACATTAGATTATTCATAAACATAAATGCTTGAAATAAAATCTTCATAAAATACTATTTACCAGCCGGGCACCGTGGCTCACGCCTGTAATCCCAGCACTTTGGGAGGCCAAGGCAGGTGGATCACGAGGTCAAGAGATCAAAACCATCCTGGCCAACATGGTGAAACCCCGTCTCTACTAAAAATGCAAAAAAATTAGCTGGGTGTGGCGATGCGTGCCTGTAGTCCCAGCTACTCTGAAGGCTGAGGCAGGAGAATTGCTTGAACCCGGGAGGTGCAGGTTGCAGTGAGCCGAGGTCGTGCCATTGCACTCCAGCCTGGTGCCTGGTGATGGAGTGAGACTCTGTCTCAAAAAAATAAAAAAAGGTATTTACCTTTACAAATATGATCTACACTCATATTTTCTAATTGTTCACCTTTTATATGCTGGCCCCAATTCACTAAATTGATTTTACAACCCACTAACAATCTACTCTTTGAAAAACACTTTTCATAGTCAGTATTCCAATGACTAATCATTGCCTTCACTGGATAAAATCCAGACATTCAATGACACAAAGGTCACCTATGACCTGGTCCCAGCTACTTCTCGGCCTCCTCTCCTACCATTATTTGCAGCCACCCTTCATGAGAAACTGCTTGTTATTCTCTGACGATATCACTACTTGGTGTATGATGTTCCCTCTATAATGCTTGCCCTCTTTCAAGTCCACTCCTACTTGTCATTCAAATATTTGCTCAAAAGTCACTTTAGTGGCCCCAAACTCCGCATCAACCTCCAAATGGGCTCAGGCCTCTCCTGTGTACCGTTATTTATAATCCTGTGGGCATATACCTGCCAATCATATATACTACTGTTGCCCATCTACTTAACTGATCCCTTCATTCAGCCAAACTGCTGAATCCAGAAAGTGGGACTCATCCTTGATAAGTCTACCATAAGGCCTCATATAAAATAGATGCTCAATATACATTCATTAAATAAGGAGGAGTAAGCTCACATTCATGCCATATTCAACTCTCTGGCTGAGCTTTACAAAACAATAAACATGGTACCATATGCAGAGACAGGGTTAAGCTACGCTACTGAGTATGCCAAGCAAAAGAAATGGTCTCCTTCCTCTTCCAGGACTTAAATGCTAATAATGATTGTCAAGAATGTGAGCATATTTCTAATTCATTTCCCACACATTTTATATTCCAATTTTCTGGAATATTTCTAACCAACCTACAGGCAGAAAACACCTATACATCTTACAAGACTAGCCAAATGCTGAAAGGTTGCCTTTTTTGTAAAGTGTTGACAGAATTCCCCCCAGCAAAGCTCAGCACTATTCCAATGATCCAATTTCTTTTCCTTTTTTTTTTTTAAATTAACACATCCATCACCACCTATGCTGTACATTTGATCCCCAGAACTTGTTCATTTTATAAATGAAAGCATGGACCTTTTGATCAACATCTCTATTTCCTTCATACCTCAGCCCCTGGCAATGACTGTTCTACTATGTTTCTATGAGTTCAATGTTTTTAAATATCAAATATAAATGAGATCATACAGTATTTCTCTTTCTGTGTCTAACTTACTCACTTAGCATAATGTCTAAGTGAATAAGTTACCCATGTTGTCATAAATGGCAGGATTTCCTTTTTATGGCTGTATAAAATTCCATTGTGTATAAATATGCCACATTCTCTTTATTTATGTGTCAAAAGACACTTAGATTGTTTCTATATCTTGACTATTGTGAATAAGGCTGCAGTGAACATGAGAATGCAGCTATCTCTCTTCAGGATCCTGATTTTGTTTCTTTTGGGTATATACCCAGAAGTGGGGTTGCTGGATCATAGGGTAGTTCTATTTTTAATCTTTTGAAGAACTTTCATACTGTTTCCCATAGTACCTGTACCAATTTACATTCCCACCAAGAGTATACAAGTGTTCCCCTTTCTCCACATCCTCGCCAACACGTGCCATCTCCTATCTTTTTTATAATAGTCATGTTAACAAGTGTGTGATGATAACTCATTGTGGTTTTGATTTACATTTTTCTGATGATTAGTGGTGTTGAACGCTTTTTCATGTACTGCTTCTTTAGAAAAATGTCTGTTCAGATCCTTTGCCCATTTTCAAATCAGATTTTTTGTTTTTTCTTGCTATTGAGTTGTATGAGTTCCTTATATATTTTGGAGATATATATATATATATATATATATATATAAAACCCCTTATCAGATATGGTTTGCAAATATTTTCTCCCATTCTGTAGGTTGCCTTTTCAATTTATTCATTGTTTCC